GTTTTCTAAGCAACATCCTTATCCTCCTTTCCTTGATGCTGAAAAGTGGTTTTTAAGCAGAATGTAAAAAATGTGAAAATTATAAAAATTCTAAAATACGAATCAAGTGTACTGCGGAATATGTTAAGCGCATAAACAGAGTAAAAATTATTTTGAAAAAGTGTGGAATGCTAAACTTCATGGCAAGCAAACCTTAGCTAATTTTATAAAACATGAATAAGCAAAAAATATGTTTTTATTGTTGCATTAATATTTTTGACTAGCTCAAGTAGCTAAGTAAGAACCGTGAAGTTTAATTTTATTCACTTCAATTAATTTAAATGAAATACATGAAATTAAAATATTTGTTGCAGCATTTAGAAATCCGATCTATTAAAAATATGTTTAAGTTATATTAAATTTTTATATTATATTTTATTTAAAATAATTGTTCGCAATTGTGATTTAAATTAACTAATATTGATTTTTTAAAAATTTCAAATCAAACAAATTATGAAATTGTACAAATTTTTTTAAATTTTTTAATTACTTACCCCTTTTATCCACTTCAAAGAAACTATTTTTATTAAATTTAAAATTCAAAAATATCACTGATTTTGTTATTCGATCTTCCTCATTTTATTTGTATGTAACATTTTACATATCCTCTTTTTATTCACAATCTCAATATATAATTCATAAGCTTTTGAATGCCGTGAAACATCTCCTCAAAATTAAAAGATTGTATTGAAACCTTCATGTAGTAAGAAGGTCGTAAAAAAAACGATCAGTTTTGAAAAATTTTGATCTCATAATTTAGAACACAATTTATTACAATAGACTTCAACATTCTTTATTATTCTCATTACAGATATCTCCGAATAGACCAAAAAAAGCTTTAAACTTTTATGGTGCCATTTGTCCATATCACTTTACTATTGATAACTATTTATTGTTACCGTATCAAATAAACAGTAAAATTCTAATGCTCTCCAAGATCTCCTTTGAATTGTTCCCTTTTGTGCAGTCAACACTATTAATGGCTAGGATAACTTAATGTTTTACCTTCATTAGCTGCCCTCAATCAAATCGTTTCTAACACTTTTGTAGTCAATTTGAATTTATTTTTACGTATCACGTCTGCTCAGATATGCATCGGCTCACCTATGCATTGTCTGCCGTGCCGTAGGCAGACATAGGCCTTTTTCACTTGAATACTTGTTTAGGTGTTCTGAGATTTTTAGTCTTAATATCTTCTCCCACAGAAATAATCTAAACTAAATACTCTAAATAATATTCAAATTGAATGTTGAATCGTTGCTTTAAGCTAGTATCCTTTAGAACTTTTGCTCTTCTCTATGGGTGGACACATACTATATTTCTTATTTAGGATATATAAATATTGATGGTATACTTTTATGTTAAATGATGTTTCACTTTTAGAGCACCTAAATGTGTTCTAAATATTGTCATATCTTCCTGTTTTGACAGGTTTTTTTGTGTTTTTTTTTGTCATACAGAAAGTATTATTGAATTATTTTTAATATATGTTTTTACCATGTTAGTTAGTAGATTATTGTGATTATCTTTATTTCCGATGTACCATCGCACCCGTCGTTTTGTGTATACTTTTTATTAATGATAGATTTAACAATCTCATCGCATGCCATAAAATGGAGATAAAGTCCCTTTGTTTTTGTGCAAAAATCTATTTTTGCTTAAAATATGGTATATACTTTCCATATAAAGCATTTATATAGTATTAGATTGTCAGTCTTTTCTACAAATTTTTTTTTTTCGTTGACTTATATCTAAATTGAATTGAGGTTGCGCTTTTGTGTGATGAAACTCTTCTGTTTTACATTAGATTTATTTATTCATTTCTGAAAATGTACTGTATTTTTGCTCACTCCATGTTTAATTTATTGTATGTCGGCTGTGTAGATATTGTCGAAAATGTTGGACCTCCTACTTTTATTTCGCTGGTTGTTGATAAAAAACTGTCAACAAAGTTAATTTGATTTTAAATTTAGTAACTCACACATTGTCAGTGTTTAGGCATGAAATTCAAATATAATTAATCACTTAAAATTCTCATTAAATTAACTATAGTAAATTAACTAATCTAACATTTTATACTGTCAGTTATCAAAAAGCTAGAAAAGTAATATATAAATGAGACCATTGTAATACTTTGAATAATAATGGGCACATCTTCTAAACAAGTAATTTAAACAAGTGCTAGCAACATAGGCCATTTTTGTATTTTTTTATCTTAGTTATTTAAATATTATTCAATTTGATAATATTGATTAACGTTTAAATATTCGAATTCTAGTTACATGATCAATTTTACTGTATTGTCCCTATACATTAATAAGGAAAATCAATATAAAACTTGTGTTTGGAAATAAAATTATTTTATTGATGTTCAATCACTAAAATGATCATAAGAAATTTTATAGGAAGAAAGTCCCAAAAATAGGCATTTTTATTTTATTAAATTAAAACTTAATAGAATAGCATTATTCCATTTATAGAAGTATATAAGTTATAAACATAAATAAGTATTCTGAATTTATTTAAGCAAAATGAAATATTTGAGACTGAAACATTGACATTAAAAAAATATTTAATATAATATAAAATAAATAAATTTCATATCGAGTAAAATATACTCGACGTGTTATGTCACTCATACGCAATGTTCACACAAAAATATAGACTCATTCCATTTATATGTATTAACTACTTTGATATTAAATTAAAATTAAGTTGATATAAGTTATGTTTAAGTTAAAATTTTTATGAATAAAAATGTACTTTTTAAAAGAAAACAAAATAAATTTATTTAAGCTTAAAAATGTGTAAGTAGCTATTTTCAGAGCAATTAATTTAATTACAAACCATCTTTGAGAAAATTCATTAAATACGCAAAGTGTGGTTCTAATGGATGGTAGAGCTTATTTTGATGCAATTTACAGAAAGTTTTAATAAGCGCATAATTTATATGCGAAGTGGTGAAGTATGTCAAGCATTTCAATAACAAGTGATTCTACCTAGTTTTATGGTATTCTGTAACTAGGTAGGTTGACTTAATTTATTGAACGTTGTACCACATGTTCAAATGAACATGTGGTTTTTTTTAAATATAATAAATATTTTGTATGTACTAAAGTATGTACTAAAACAACGTACATAAAAAGTACATAAAAATAATTTTTCTAGTTATGTTTATATAATAAATCTTACTGAGCTTTTTAAATGATTATGAGTACTTTAGTTATAGTCAAATGTGGGCCCATTATGTTTAAAAAAATTAGCATAGACTTCTTAGTAACGACTTGTACGGTAAAGTTGGTTCCCTAGTCATGTAATTGCTGTTACAATTCATTTCACAAAACTGTTTATTCCACAAAACTATTTCCACACGCCTCAATCGCATTTTAAGGGCAATCCTATTTTATAAGACGCACACCTAAATGCAATCAGCCCGCAAACAGACTATAAGTTTATGAATTTGTGTGTCTTTGTAATAATATTTAGGTCTAACAAATTATGTAAAACTATGTAATTATATCTACTCTAGCAAAACAATGTTTTTTTTTGAAAGATATGACTTTCAACTCATTTCTTTACCTAAACAATTTTTATTCAGGCTATAAAAAATTGACTTCAGTAAATGACATGCGAAATTATATGCCAAAACAACATTAAAAGCAAGTTTATTTATAAAGTTGACATGTGCATAGGCGCCAGTTATAAAGGCGTGCAAGTAAGTATTGTAAATGTCGGCAATTTCAATTACAAGATCGCTACACATGCCAGAAGTACAGTGCTTTATAAAACTTACGTTAAATGCACTGATTTCAGTGTTTCAAATAATAAAACTAGTTATTAGTTGTACATTTACTACAAAATTAATTTATGAAATAAAATTCAATATATCCTTATGATTATATTACTTTAATCACTAATTTGCGAGATTACATTCCTTTAACTATGGTATTCCGTAAAAATAAGAGTATACCTGGTTACATGTCACAAAAATGCTTCTACATGACAGAGGAACTGTAACGACTGAAAAAGTTCTACTTAGCCTAGCCACCTTATGTTTTGTTTTAAGTAACTTTAGACAATTTTTTTTCTATTTGCGCAAAATTCAATTTAGACCATAACAAACAAAACGCACAGGATAATGACAGCGTACATGATATGCTCGCTGTGAGTCACATACATAAACAAATGTTACACAAGGACAATATTTCAGGATGTTTGACAATGACAATTTTCGTAGCAACATCTACAGCGCAACTTGTGGCAGTTTGAATTTAATGAGAGTATACGCATTTGCGTTGCCAGTTAACGCCTCTTTAGTGGACCTAAAAGTCGACACACTTTCAGCGCGGTCATTTTATTAGAAGAGATATATCACACAAACGCCACACATCATTTACGCAAAGTACTAAACGTTGTTGTGCTGTACTGTCAACAAAAGCTCACACAATAGCAGCAAGAACACCTAGTCGCACTGTTGCGCGTCTAAGTGAATGACAATGAATGACTTGGGATAAACGTCATATTACACAAAATAAAAAATGAAAAAAATGTAATGGACTGACTACTTTACTGTTCATGAAACACTCAAATTATATGAAACATAAAAAAACAACAAGAGCGTCATCTTTTTTCAGCTGGGGCAGGCAGTAGGAGTTGAAGAAAATGTTTATTTGCGCATTTTTTTGTATTTTACTACAAGTAATTATCATTTAGGTCATAGTTCGTTTGTGAATCCGGTGCAAAACGGACGTGCCAGCCGCAAGTTAGTGATAACCAGCTACAAGATATATTTAAGAATAGTTCTTAACTATCAGTAGTTGGCATCCTATCCTGTAACTGCATCATGGATGCATGAATTATATATGCATGCCTTAATCAAACTGTGAATTCTGTTTAAAGTCAAATCATAATTTTAGTGGTGATCTGGTGACACTGGTATTGCCAAGAGTACTAGCATTAAAATGCAGCAAGCAGAACCATTAGGGAAAAATAAGCCTGCTTCCGAAGACGTAACTATGCCAATAGTTTCAATGGAACGCATGCGAGCCAAACCTGGCATTTTACGTTTGGATGTCAATAAGCCAAGGCGTTCATCAGGTGGTTCTGTTGAGTTTCACCCACAGCCGCAAATTTTAAGAAGAGTAAGTATTTTGTTTAAATATTATTGTATTGACTTGGTTTTGTGAAAAAAAATATCTAGTTTTGAACATTACAAAAACAATTTAAGAATATTTATAAAAATATGTATAACTTTGAAAAATTAAATTTCGCTATGTACCGTCAATAGCTGCATTCGGATTCCTTAAACAATGTTATGATATATTTTAAAATGGTAACTGTGAATAGTGAATAATTACTGCAATATATTTAATATCCGGTTATATTATTCAATATTTATTTCATTAATTATATATTAATATGTTATTTATATTAATATTTTATTTTTATACGTATATCATTTTGAAAATTATTTGTTTTTCTTACAATACCTTCTATTTTTAGACTTTTTAGTAAAAAATTTTTACTATATATATCCTTGAGTTAGGAATCTTTATTCCATTTGGATTGAATGATTGTCAAGTTTTGTTCAATGGCTTTTATTTGTGTACGTGATTATTATTCAGAAAATATTGTTTTTAAATATATAGATTGTAATTTTATCATTTTTCACCAGGGACCGAAAATAACAGTTATTTTAAAATTTTTTATGAAAAAAAGCAGCAACAAAAAGTTGTCTAAACTCTTATTTAAGTAAATAGTTATCATTCTAACAACTTTTATCCCTAATATTATGCATGCTTTTTATATATGAGCGTTTTAAAATAAGACTTAAAAAATAGTAATTAAATTTGTATTAATTAAATTTATATTCATCAAAAATAATTATTATTATATGCAACTTATTTTTTCGCGCAGAAATTACTCTAAAAATTTGCTTTTTATTTTAAAACTCAAAAATAACTGATATACTTGCGTTTTATAATATAAAAATCAAGAGTATCGCGCAAATTCTGCGCACCAACCCTTTAAAACATTTTCTATGGAATTATAAAAACAACTACCTTGCATGAAAATTGCATTTTATATTTTCATTTTAAAAATATCGCGCAGAATTTACACGATATTCTTGATTTTTATATTATACTAGCGGACCGACAGATGTTGTCTTGCATGATATACTAACCGATTAGGATATTAAACAAAGTAAGAAATGAAAGACATTTATTATTCTATATTTTGAAATAACATCAACTTTTCTAAAAACAATTCGTAATAATCAATAATGTTTGTTTAATTTCATCTTAATGCGAGTTCATAAACAATATTTTTAGTCAATTCTTGAGGAGTATAAATAAATAAACTTGACGGATTTCCAGCGCGAGAACACGCTACATATAATTGGCCATGTGAAAAGTCCTGATTTTCTAGATCTATCCCACAAATCGATATTGTTTAACCTTGTGATTTATTAATAGTCATGGCAAATGCCAAGCGGATTGGAAATTGCAGACGTCTGAATTTAATAGGTGAGTCTGAAGGCATCACCTTCAAATTTGCCATTCAAAATTGTAGCTTTAAGTAAATTTCCCATAATTTTTTTATGACTAATCTCGTCCCGTTGCATAGATTAGGTGCATTTAAATTCCGCAGCATAATTATAGGTGAGCCAAATTTTAATCTTAAGTTATGTGGTGGCATTCCTGGTAAATCCAGCGAATTCAAAAATTCAACAGGATAGTTGAACGATTCATTTTACAGACTTTAAACTTTTTAAACAAATCAAAGTAAGCATGAATAAGTTTTAAATGTCTAATATAAATGTATATGGATACCAAAAAACTGTATAATAATTAAAAAAACATTATCCAGTGGTCCAAATTGTGAATCTAAACCATCCTTGAAACCACTTGAACACACACAAAAAATTTCATCAAAATCGGTTCAGCCGTCTAGGAGGAGTTCACTGTCAACACACGTACAGAAGAATTATATATGTAAAGAAGATAACGCAAGTAAACCAGTTATTTGTGAGTTTTAAAATAAAAAGCAAATTTTAAAAGTTATTTCTGCGCGAAAAAATAAGAGGCATATAATAATAATTATTTTTGATGAATATAATAAAAATCAAATTTAATTATTATTTTTTGAGTTTTATTTTAAAATGCAAATAATAACAGCTATAAGATGATTTTTATTTTTTTATGAGAACTGTTACGGTCCCTGTTTTTCACATTAGCACTATTGCCTATAGATTAAAGTTGAATTCAAAAGTTAAAACACTTTTAACTTTGAATAACAAAAATTTGTTTGAGATGCTTTTATTAAACCGATTTTTATTTAACCAATATACCTTATTTAAAATCAATTTAGCTTGTATTTTATTAGATTTGATTTGCTATATCAGATAGGTTTGGCTTTTTTCTAAATATATTGCTTATAATTTTTACGATATATTTTGTGTACCAATAATATAAGTAATTGGTAATAAGACATGAGTAGGTATCATGTCTTAACGCCAATGTGACTTGGTTTAATTGATTTGTGTTTATCATCCATCTTACAACTTCATTTTTATTTATTTATGTAAATTAAAATTTTTCATATGCAAATTTTCAATTGAAATAGCAGTTTGATTTAGCATTACCACATGTTTAAATAAAGCATTTTCTATTAATAAATCGGTAGTAAATATCAAAAAACAATTGAACCAAAGACTCTTCCTTGAGGTATTCCAGAATTAACTTTACAGAAAAAATAACTATACATATTATATAATAGTATATACGTAATTTTATATAAGAGTCGTTTGTACCCGTAAACCCAATACTTGAACACACTATTTCGTATTCTTACTGCCCTACTTATAAAGAAATATGCTGCCATGAACTTGTGATCGGTATTTAATTTTGATTTACTTAATACTTAATACTTAATAAACATCGAGTCTGTTATATAAAAACTAATCGGCATACACGTCTCTTTCGGTACCGATAAAAGTAAGTTTATGCTTGTTTCATAAGCAGAAGTCACTAAATCTATTATGAATTTTGATAAAATCGTTTGAAGTTGCTTCCATTGTCTAAAGTATCTTGACAACTTTGAATGTCATTTTTCACTTTTATGTTTTGGTATAGCTTACTGGTGATTTCACCGACCTCAATATCCGTTTCGTGTATTTCTCTTTGAAGTTGAACTTTTATTTTTGCTCTGAACTAGAATCCACGGTTAGAGTTAAAGTGAATTTTGTATCAAAGAATGAACTAGACTATATAATGAAGGTAAACAACAAAACAACTCTCATAATTGAACTTAAATTTTGTATCAGTTCAAAGTTCATCAAAGCATTAAAACAGAAATGCAAACTAAATATAGTAACGAAAATTACTCGACATGGAAATAGAAATAATATGGACCTTAAAGTCTTTAAAAATTAAATTTAACTGCACATACTTAAAGCTGTAAAACATTTATATAATGATTATATGACTGTAAATATTTGTAGGAAAGAACTGGATATTACTTTAAAAGCTACTCATACTTGGTGTACCTTTCCAAGATAGCAATAATGTGTTAAATAAGACTAGAATAAACTAATATAACGAATTAAAAAATAATTGATATACTAACACATTATTAGATAAGCAATCACCATTCCCTTGAGATTGAGAACTTTGCATAACAATGGTGGTATTAAACTATTTAAAAAATGTCAGGGAATAAAGGAAACTGAATAAACAGAAATTGCATTTAATATTAAATTCCGCATTTAAATGCTGCAACGCCCGCAGGTATCGAAATGGAAACGGAGTTCAACCAACACCACCAGCACCACCAACGCCACCATAGTCACTGCAACACTGCAGCACTGTACGCTGCAAGCTGTAAGCTGTTGTGACGTGACAAAATGAGTGCACAGCACAACATAAATTATTCATTTTCTTCGTTCCTATAAACTATAATATTGATATTTCAATATGCTGTAGCACAGTGACTATGTACAAGGATGAACTCTGTCCATTGACTGGTTTGGGACGTTTGCCATTACACTGAAATACTTTAATTACAGCGCGTGAAGCGATGTTGTGCGGAAGCGAAAAAATTTTAATTGGAATTAAGTGTAAAAAAGTTATTTCTTTCAATTGGGATATACCCAAGTATATCTTAAGTGCGCTAGTTAAGAATACTTTTTTTTAATCCGATAAACCAAGTCACAAGTGCATTGGTGTAGCAAAAATCATGATAAGTACAAGGGTAAAGAGAAAGTTCAGCATGTAATAGATTTTTTACAACTTAAATACATAAATAAAATATTTAATTATGCATAAAATTTTATGTGAACAATAAAAGCTCATGAAGCTTTCAATAAAGTTTTAGGCACTTTTTTTATTCGTTTCTACGGCATATTTGCTTTTCGATCATTAAGTTGAGACTTTTGTCATCATTAATCAAACGTGACGAACCTTAACGGATTGTAAGTGGTGAGATAAAATCATTTTAATGTCCATAATGAACGAATAAAGTTGTACAACGACAGCACAACCAAAAAGGACATCAAACTGTCTTCGGTTTGTGCTGAAGTGCTTGCGCGAAAATTTTTGTGTATCTCAACTTCGTTTGTTATTCGTCTTTAATGAATTAACATTGAATGTTGAGCGTTGAACGTTGACAAGCCTTTTTTATATATATATATATATTTAATTTTCGAGTTCTGTAGTTTTGTTGTCTTGTTGTCTTGTAATAGCGATGTACCTGTTTATGAGAAATGATTAAAATCACTTAAGCAAAACTGTTTGTAGTTGCTTGGTTTTAAGCGCAACAATTTAGAGTATTCATCGGCTCGTGGTTATTAAACAGAATTAAACTATATTTATAAGGCTATATATCCACCTATATGTACCATATCTTAAGTTTTTACAATACCACATCTTCTTCTTATACAGTAAATTCATATTTTCTACTGATGTACTTAACGTAGGAAGGTATATAGTAGATATATAAAGAAATATGTACGAAAATTAACCCAAGCTGATGAGACGTAGACAAGTCTGTGTTGCTTATGTGAGCTGTAGTTCAATGTTCAATGTTCCTATAATGGACACAAGTCACACAGACAAGCGTATGCTTGCACAACACTCATTGT